TTTGAAAGACCTTCAGGAAGCCTGGAGAACTATTGCACAAGATCACTCTAGAAAACAATTTCAAGAAAATCCAGCTTCTTGGAAGCAAAATATAAAGAAACGAGGGGTGGCTTGACACTTTTTCGCAGTACTGTATGACTCATATAACAGCCGTGCATTTCACTAAAGTGGTTTGTCTGGAATTTCTGGTAAATCCCCCCAAAATCTAAGAAAACACCAGCAGACATAAAAAGCGAAAGTGTTTTAGGCCCTGAAGAAGAGTCTACAGAGTGGCTAGAAATATTAAGAAAGGAAAATACAACACTTATTTCAAATATCACCCAAAACAGAGAGGGATGGTCAGATAGAAGAACGACAGAGTTCAACAGTGGTACATAAACATGTGGGGAGTGAATTGTGTGGAGAAGAAAACCATCTCTTGGCATAAGTAAAGGGTAATTTGGAGTCACCTGATCCAGCTCTAACTGTAAGTTTTATCAACACGGTAGAGTAGTAGAGTGGGAGTTTGTCTCCTATATGTGTCTCTGGCTCCCATTCTACTTTTGGAAACTCTAAGACCCACATGGAAGCCAGCAGTCTGAAAGCAGAGAGGTCTGTTGAGATACTATGAGGTCTGTTAACTAAAGCAGTTATATAATAATTAGTTCAAGCATTTCAGTACAACTGTAATAAAAACATACTTGTTCATGTTTAGGTGAGAAACTGCGTTCGAGTAACATTTCCTTCGAAAACGGTGCTGCATGTCTGAGCCTGACCCAGTGCTCACCTAAAAATGCCGGGAGGTACACCTGCATAGCTGAGAATCCTGCAGGAAAACAGTCGAGCACTGCTCTGTTACATGTCACAGGTAACATCAAGTCCAGTAAAGCCACTAATAATCAACACAGCAGCATAGAAATGATCTGTTTACAGTGAGCCTGATTCACTCTGTTAACAATGAAACAGCAACAAAGGAAATTCCCGGAACAATCCACCGTGAGCTGCGCAGTGAGGTCACATTCAAGGCTGTGTCACACGAAAACGCTGAATTGTTCCCAGTTTCGGCAGGGGCAAGGCAAAGCAGAGAAGAAAGGGACAATGGTAGGCTCAATGATGACCACTTGTTTAACTTCCTTAAAATCTTTTTAATGTTACACACGCATTAAAATTCCCAATTGTTCTGCTTTTATTCCTGCCATGAATGCTATTAATCCTGTGAAAATAATGCAAATTTATAGCAAATATGCTCATGATAATAGAGGGCAGGGAAGAGGAAACATGCATGCCGACAAAAGAAACAAAATGTTGTGTGTTTGGTTTTTAAATTTCAGTTTTAAGCAGGCTGTAAGTAAGAACCGTTGCAGTCTATCCCATTTCTGGCATGTGCTTATTTACAACTATACAAAAAAATCTTGTTTGCCAGTTCAACCAAACATGATTGCTTCACTGCCATTGGTTAGTTCCTTTTTAAAATTCTCACATGAGAGCACACCTGTAAATCCAATCTACTTCCTCAACCTCCACAGATTTTAGAGAAATCAGTCTTCAAAACCAGGTACCAACCAGTAAAGGTAGGAACCACATTATGTACTGAACAGCACTTAGCTCAGGCTTTATTATTTTTTTTTTCTTGGACAGAAACTAGCTCTGCTTTTCTTCAGGGCCTCCTGTGGAGTTTGTAGACCCACCAGAGCAGGTGGAGGTTCGAGTAGCTGAGCAGGCCCTACTGCGCTGTGAGTTCAAGTCCAGCTCTCTCCCTGTAGCTTCCTGCTGGATTTACAACAGGGATAAGGTAAGAATGTTAGACTGGTTGTTTTTTTTTTTAACATTTTATCCATAATTTTACCTTAGTCTTAACTTACACTTCTGCCCGTCTCTGACTCCAGGCTATATTCGGAGGACAGCGAATGTCAGTCAGGACCACGCCAAATCATAGCAGCGTGCATATCTTTCATGCTGATCCAAAGGACGCAGGCTCCTACACAGTCATTGTACGCAACAGAGCAGGCTCTGCTCAGCACACCATCTCCCTCAGTGTTGTAGGTGAGATAAATTCCTGACACGAATGCCCACAGAGAGACTTTGGATATTGGCAATTTCTCGAAAATGTTAAATTTCTCCTCAGACCGACCCAATCCGCCAGCATCCCAGCCTGTTGTTTCCCAGCTATCCACTCAGTCCCTGGTTCTGTCCTGGTCTGGCCCCAGCTACGACGGCGGCACGACAATTTTGGGGTACATCTTGGAAGTCTGTAAGGAGGGCTCGGACAAATCTGAGAGCTGGACTGAATTAAGTCGTTGTAAGAACACATCCTACCACGTCCAGTCAGGACTGGAGCCTCTGGGACGTTACCGCTTCCGAATCAGGGCTTATAACTCTGCAGGAATCAGCGAACCGAGTCAGGAGTCTGGTTGTGTCAAGATGGCAACTGCCAGTGAGTACAATATCTGCATGATTTTTAGCAGAATTTGATTTTGTTTTTATTTCCTAAGTAGTATTTTGGTGGTACCGGTTGTGAAATGTCTTTTTTGTCATTTCTTTTATTTGTGTTAAAAGAGCAAAGGAAAGCGGAGCCTGAATCATACGTCATCGTGACCCCTGACACCCAAAATAAAGTCAGGGACCACTACAATGTGCATGAGAAGCTGGGAGTGTAAGCATCTCTAACTGTGCATCCATATCTAAAACTTTCAGTCTTGAGGAATTAGAATCCTCCCTTACTGTTTTTGTTTTAAATGTTCACATTTCCAGAGGAAAATTTGGTGATGTGTACCGGATAACCCAAAAAGAGACGGGTCAGGAGTGTGCGGGGAAGTTCTACAGAGCTCGGACCATGAAAGACAGGAAAGCGGCTCGCAAAGAGATTGAACTAATGAACAAGCTTCACCATCCAAAACTCGTGCAGTGTCTGGCTGCATATGATAGTCGTTCAGAGATGGTCATGGTCATGGAGTAGTAAGTCATCTTAGTTTAGTAAAAGCAAACCTTTCTTTTGTAGTGGGTACACTCCATTTAAAGATATCACTAGGGGATTCGTGGTGGTAGAAGGTATTTACACGAGAGGTTCAAATTTGATGGTCACATACCATTGCATGCCCCTGAATGGTTATTTGCATGCCTAGCATCGCAGGTGGAGAGCTCTTTGAACGCATCGTGGATGAAAACTTTGAGCACACAGAGCCCACCAGTGCCCGCTACATGCAGCAGATCCTGGAGGGCATGCAGTATGTTCACAAACAGAATATCATTCATCTGGACCTCAAACCAGAGAACATCGTCTGTGTGGATACAACTGGTACCCGCATCAAAATCATCGACTTTGGTCTGGCTACTGAACTGGGTGAGTTTGATACCAGATTTTGAAATGTCCTACTAGGTACAGAAAAGAAAAAAATCTTGCATAACTGGTTGGTATATCATTATCAGTGCACAGTTCAAAAGGGGAAGGCCTTGTTTATACTCTTAAGACACATATTGCACATAGTGCTAAAGACCAGACCAGATGTTTCAATCTTCGTATGCTTTCAACCTCTTGAACTTTGCCATGTTTGAGTTTGAAAACGCAAGAAGAATAACACAGCCAATGTCATGCATGAAGATAACATCAAGGAGTGTCTAAATTCCTAGAGATCTACAATGCATGTCACATCCCTACAGGTCTTTAAATAGATAATTGCTGAGCTGCTACTTTAACTCAGTAAAGGTATCAAGGCATGTGGAGCGAATTCATGCGGGAAATTTCAGCATTTTTCTCCAGATGCAGCAGCTCCAGAGTGGGTGGTCTGTTTAGAAGTGATCAGAGCCTTCTGTAAATAAGTTAAAAGAAACAAATATCATCTGCAGCTCTGTCGATGTAGCTCAGGAGGTAGAGCAGGTCATCTTCTAATCGTAAGATAAGTTTGAGAGTGACATTCTGAAAAACTCTTGTCTTCTTTAGAGGAGGGTAAGTCGCTGATGGTGATGCATGGCACGCCGGAGTTTGTGGCCCCCGAGGTTATCAGCTATGAGCCTGTGGGCCTGGAAACTGATATGTGGAGCATTGGAGTTATCTGCTTCATCTTGTAAGTAAAACTGCAGTGAACCACAATAACAGACTTGGACGCAGAACACCGATTTTATGTTTGTGTCAGTTAAATATATTTCAAAGGGACAATGTACACATGTTCCTGGCATCCTGGTGCCGTTATACATTCTTCTACAATTGAGTCTAGTGGCATCAGTGAGCCATCTACTGTTGCTTCCTTGGTATGAGCCCTAACAAGAATGAATGGAAAAACGATATGAATGTATCTGCCTTGAAGCAGATGAGCTACAGTGCCAGAAAACAACACTGAGTACCATTCCTACCAGCTAAGTACAAAAAACCTGAGGTAAAATTTGCACAGTGTCACCAAAAAATTAGAAAAACATTGCCTGATGCAATCTTATTTTTTTACTGCAACATTCATATGATAGTAAACCACATGAAAGTATTGATCCATCCTGCCTTGTATCAATACATCAGGCTGGTGCTGTGATAGTGTGGAGGACGCCTTCATACCAACTGCACATCACAGTCTACTCATTACTTCAGATGTTCATCCTTCACACCCTGAATAAGCACAAATCACCTTAAACTGGTTCCTTGAGCAAGACGATGAGCTCATTATACTCAAACGGCCTCCATAGCCACCAGATCTCAATTCAATAGAGCACCTTGTGTTGGAAGAGTAAAGTTGTTAAAGTCACGGTGTGCAGCCAACAAATCTACAGAAACTCTGTGATGCTGTCATGTCAATATGGACCAAAATCTGAGGAATATTTCCAGCACCTTGTTGAATGTATGCCTCAAAGAATTAGGGAAGCTCTGCAGGCAGAAGGGGGTGCACCAATATAATACCATTTTTGGGTAATGGAGCCTCAAATGAGGATGTGTAATTTCTGTGGAAGCTTATTTGCTTTCATAATGTTTATCCTTGTCTAGACTCAGTGGAGAATCACCCTTCCAGGGAAACAGCGATGCTGAGACTCTTGCTCTCGTCACTGCTGCCAGCTACGAGTTTGACCCAGAGAGTTTTGAGGACATCTCTGACCAAGCTAAAGACTTTATCAGTTCCTTGCTGCAAAAGGACCGGAGGTTTGAATGCCTTTGCCTTTCCCCATCAGAAACATCCATTTGTAGTTCAATAAATTAAGTACTACTAAACCGTCTGACCAACTGTGAATATGAATATCACAGACATTTCAGCAACCACATACACTTGCTCCTTTATCTCCATCCGCTTCGACTCTAGATGCAGGCTGTCATGTGCCGAGGCGCTTGCCCATAGCTGGATGGCCTCTTTCACCCCTCTAAACCGCAGGCCCACCAAGTCCCTCAATAAGGAGAAGATGAGGCATTTTCTGGCCAAGCACAAGTGGAAGGTACCTGTTTTTCTTTTTTCCGTTTTTGTATTTTTTTTAAGTACTCCTATAAGTCCTCAATAATCTCAATGCATGTTTTCAAAAGGTTTGGTCAACCAATTCTATTTTTCCTTTTAAACTTCTAGAAAACTGGCAAGGCTGTTTTGGCCCTAAAGCGAATGGCTAACCTCACCAGCAGCCCAGTCTCTGCTGGCAACTCCTCAGAGGGTAAGATGGATAAAGGGACACACACATACACACAATAGCCTCCCATGTCCTAGATCTACATGGATGTGACAGATGAGTCGCTGTTTCAGACTGTCACTTCAAGTTTAGCCTCTTATGATCAGTAAAGCCTTGTTTCCTTGTTATTCATTGTCATCATCCGCACTCTCATGTAGAGCCAAGCTGGAGCCAAGAGGCAGAGGAGGCCATCCAGTCGCTGGATAACCAGCTCCAGATTGAGCCTCATTTCCAACAGGCCCTGAAGGACGTTACCCTCCCTGTAGGAGCAGCTGCTCAGCTGACATGTGTTATCAATGGTAGAGATACAGATTAACACATGTACAAAGAACAACATAGGCCTACAATCAATATATTTAGTCATTTATTTTTAAACATGTACATTTCTCAATTATTAGAAAAATTCCTGTCATCACAAGTCATTAGCACAAACAATAAATTAATCTGCTCTCTGTATTTGAGGATCTTTTGTCTTGTTTTGTATTCTTTTGGTGCAATTATACATTTTTCTAATCCTAGGATATCCGCAGCCAGAGGTGAAATGGCTTCACGATGAGAAGCCGGTGCCTGAATCTCGCAGAGTGACCATAGAGCATCATGGAGAGGGGCTCTGTTCTCTGGTTCTGGCTGATTTGAAGTTTTCTGACTCTGGGGTGTATGTATGCAAGGCCAGAAACAAACTGGGGGAAGCAATGTGCTCTGCCAAACTGAAAGTGCGACCGTAACAACTTTTCTTCATTGCAAAAAGGACCAAGCTGAATTTTTGTCTTGTCGGTATATGAATGGACAGTCACGACCTCCTGATTTCACGTAATTTCAACGCAAATACACGTGTGTTACCTTGTCTGCTGGATAAGGTTAGTACAGATGCCAAAGTAGTTAGTAGTGCACTCAGAAAATCTGTATTTATGTGTTCAGCTACTAATGCACAAGGTGTTGTACTGATAGGTTGTTTGTCTTTCTCCTGTGACTGTAATCACATAAAAACGTGTACATTTAAACAATATTTAGATGTGTAAAATGTATTAAACACTGAAGATTTTAAAAAGCAGACTTTTTCAGAAATGTTCTAAAATAACTCATGAATGTAAGTTTTTCACATTTAAAGGATGTATGCATTGATTATCCACCATTAAAGTGTTCGACAGACGAAGTGATAAACGTCGATTATGTTACAAACCAATGTTCTGATAGGAAAATGTTGGTCTTGGCTTTCATGTAGCTACTTTTACTCATACTACCTACCCAAAATATTTTTGCAGACCAACACACCTTCCTCCTGGCACTCCCCAATGGCAGTGGTCTGCCCAAAATGACAATGTGCGCCACAATACCTCCCCTTACATTGGAAGCAAAAGCAACACCTTGCCAAAGCAACAATCATCAGGTAGTTACTGACCTACAGATGCCAAAACGTGCAACCGACAGTACACCCTGTAGATAACCTTTATCTATGTCAGATCTGTCAGTGGGAATCTGTGCAGCATTCGGCAGCTAGCTTAAATGTTGTCTAATTGGTATTGATACAAGCGTCTGTGTGTGACAAGAGCTTTAAAACCTACACCTTGAAAATTGAGAGATTTGTTATGGGTTGATAACATTTCATTTAATGTTTTGTGCAAATTTATATAGCAGTCAAAAAAGTAAAGACATTTAAAACTAAATTAAAATATACATTTTCTCTGACATCACAGAACAAGCCATGTAATATGTAGTGTTGCTAAAACAGCAAAGTATTTATTTTTTATGTATATGCACATTTACAGCTGTTAGTTATTATTAAAATGTCAACTTTGCTGCTTCCTGGAGGCTTAAGGGTGAAAAAATGGCTGAAACAAGCTTCTCTAACCTTGCTTCCCCCACTGAGACCAAATGTGTCGTCCTACGCATTTCAGATGTCCTCCTTCATCAGTCTGCACAGCAATCATTAAGGTTTATATCATTAGAAATGTTTATAGTGCCCATTGTATTTATTTCACTAAATATAATTGCTCTTCAGATTGACAAAAATTCCTAAATATACAAAACCTCAAAGATGAATAATTTAATAACATGGACAGAGAAAACAGTTACAGTTACATGGTATCATTAACTAATTTCCCCTTGTGTTTCTTTGTTCTTTAAAGAAAAAAAGGAAACAAAATAAAAATAATTAATAGAAAGTGGACAAATCCTGCAAAGTGTCAGCTGAAGTGCCCCAAATTTTTTTTGCTGAGAAAGACTAATGCAAGATTGCAGTCGGTGTATCGGTAAACCATGCCGGTCAATTTAAAAAAATAAAATAAAATTTGGGATGAAAAGAGGCCATCAGTTAAGATCACACCTAACACAAGTGTTCGATAATAATCCCAAACAGGAATTTTAGACTAAAAATTCCAGCAGCCGTCTGTTAGGGATGTTTGTGGAGTCTTTACATCTTTAAAGTAAGCATCACTGAAATAAAACTAGAATTTAAAAACCTGTGGATACTCAATCAGGCACTGAGTCTTGGTCAAAGAAGTGAGGGAGCTTCTTGGGTTTTCCTGTGACCACCCACACTCCTTTCTAAGGCAGCGTATTCCTTACGAGGACCATTTGTCCACATGTCTCTGGCCTGGCACATGCTTACAAAGTCACAGCTGATGTGACGTAGAGACCCCAAATATGATTCTAATGTCCTTCATGCTTCTGCTGAATTCTCTTCTGAAGAAGATTCCAAGCTTTCAGCACCTTTTAAATGAGAAGAGGAGTAAAAATTAATGCAAAATCTGTTTTTCTCATAAAGCAGTCATGTGGACTTCATGCTGAAAGGATAAGGTGTGTTTAACCTGCTTCCGAGTGACCTCTGGCTCCCACAGTGTGCCGAGTACCACATTAGCATGCTCTACTTGTTTGCTGTTGGGCCACTGGCTCTGCAGCCTGCGAAGTGCATCTTCTGTGGTCACCCCATCCCGCTCGGTTATCCTCAACACCGCCTGAGAAAAGACGGGAATTAAGAGAAGGGGGGGAGACGTGTTAGGTGGAGTTTTCAAATTATACTTTGGCGCCCCCCAGTGGATATATTAAAGAAAACAGTATATCAGTTTTGTTTTTTGTTTTTTAAAAACAGGCCTTACACAATAAAAAATATTTACATTCAATTAAAAATTTGGCTTTAGGACTTGTAGGAGTTATAGAAACAAAAAAACCAGATGTGACGAACTGCAAAGAAAACTTTGCAGAGGACAATTTCATTACCTCCTCCTCTGGGATGATGGTGACCCAGACCTCGTGGACCAAGTTTTGCCATTTGGCCTCCAGAAGAACTGCTGCATCCACCACACACACCTGCTTATCTGCAAAGAGCAAAGAATCACATTAACTTTAGAAACTACAACACAACAGGAAGGAGAAATATGCTTCCCCGATTTAAATGTTCACTACGCTCAGCTATTTCAGCTATTTCAGCCATTTACCGAGTTTCAAAAATAAGTTTTTACTCACTCACAAGTTCATTTGTTTAAGAATTTACGAAGCTTAAATATTTGAACAAGTACACAATCTTTCCACAAATCCTTACAGTGCAGATGTAACTTGTCAGGATTTACTGATTACTAAAAAGTCCAATTGTCACTCAGTTGAATTAATCACAACCCCTGTTAAAAATTAACAGCCGAAAAAACAGCATCATATTTGCAAGGCCAATTATATGATTACTGACATATTCTGTATATATCTGATGAACTACCAAAAAAAGTAAAATGCCCCCTAAATGCATTTATATTTAAGAAATGAATGCATGGCAACAATGTTTAGTTGCCAGTTATTACATTTAATTTCATACTATACCTTCGTCTCTGGCTTGGTTGATTCTCTTTTGCACTATAAGTGCAATTTCAGGCCACACAATGTCTGTTAGGGCTTTTAATCGCTCCTGTTGGGGAAAAAACAAACGAAAAAAAAAAAATCTCTGGTAAGTTTCTGAGAGAAACCTGACATTTTACCTGCAATTCTGCAAAGTGCTGAAATATTATCCAATAAATAAATATTATCCATACTACCTGATTTCCAAAGACTTTTCTTCCTAAAGCACGCCTGTTGATGGTTTTATCTTCATTTAGAAGATCTAAAAGTGGAAAAGACACTTATTATTGCACAGTTTTACACAACATACAGTTTAACACTGACAGGAAAACATCTTGTTGAATGTCAGTATACTAAATTCTTGTGTTGTGCAGAGTCCATATTGACATGACAGCACTCTGGTCATTCTCCTCTGAACGCAAAACAAGTTCAATAACTTGCTGCCAGTTGTGTGACTCACTACATACCAGTGTTAACAAAAAACTGAACAGGATTCAAAACGCTCATCAATCAAAAAGTGATCGTGAGAGAGCTCATCAGTGGTCACCAACGCAAGCTAAAAATAAATAAATAAATAAATAAAAAATCAGGAGTCAGCTTTCATCAAAATCAAATCAGTGACATCATGACTCTGACCTTTGCTGACTACAGTGTGTGCATTATAGCAATCAGTAAAATGAAAGCAAAAACACAAAGTCTTATTGTCTTTTTTTTTTCCAATCAAGAACAGATCAACTGTGTGAAGTATCACAAACACTACAGTCTGACCCTTCCACTAAGATACCCTCAAGTGAAGGTGTGATATGGTATATATGGTGGTGATATGTAGGTGTTCCTGTAATGATAAGGTTTACCAGCAGGGGGCGCTGTATTTAAGAAAGCTCATGAATGCTTCCAGGGGAGCACATAAAAGAAGACTGGTCTGTGGTGTGAGAGGTTTTGAATGGTGTCAATAAAATGTTTGGAGCAGTAGCTCGCAAGGCATAAGTGGATGCTGTGTTCTTTTTAACAAGCGCTACGAAGACAACACACCTACCTGAACCAAATTCTTCGAGCACTCTGTGGTAGGCCGCTGCATCAGGTTGGTACACCTCATGGCCTAGTTTGTCGCAGTCAATCCAAACTGCACCAAGGGCCTCTAGCTGCTTAGCGATAGCGCTCTTTCCACTGCCGCTGCCCCCTGTCAGACCAATCACATATGGAAGAGGAGGAAGGTGGGTGTTGTCCTGGGATAGAGGACACAGGAAATGAAGGGTTTAGAATGTGCAAATAAAATGAGATAAAATCAGCTCCTAAAACAAGTTATACTCTCACCACTGAAAAAAATAATCTATAATACCAGAGATGAATAAGGAAAACCAAATGCACTCATTTGTGAGATTGATGATACAATTTCATAAACATAATATGTTTCACTGCTCATTTCTAAATGTCAATAAAATACAATAAATAATAAATAAATAACAATAAATAAATGTGTGAACGTGTCACCTTCAGTATAAAACATTAATGATACCCACAAAATACTTTAAAAGATGCTTTGTGTAATATCCACAGATTTTCCCACCCATATCACACAATCCCTGCTACAACAGTTAAAAGGTCGACCCTGTCACACTGTTCTTCACCAGCCAGTTGGGTTTAATTCTGCTTCTTTGAGTGATTAAAAAGACGCTTCAGAGCACATTCTCAGAACTTTTACTAGTCGTGACTGAAAGCTGAACTTCTTTCAAAAGGAACTTCATGTAATAGGAATGAGCTCAACCAACACTGGTGGGCGTTGTCCAGTTATAACGCCTTTTGTTCACCAAGTCAATAAAAGATTACGAGATGTTCTTTTATAGGCTTGCACTTCTGTGCACTGCAAAAAAACAAACAAAAACAAAACCTGAATCAAAGGTAGCATGCCTGTGATACACCTTTGATGGGAGCAGAACCCCATTAATGCCCTAGTTTGGAAAAAAAGAAAATAAATATGGTGATAAGAGACAGTTTTATTACAACTGCAGCTAACTGGTCCTTCAATTATACTGAAGTTTTCTCAGTGTGTTTGGACTTGCTGTTTTTGCACCTAAATTCTAAAAAATACACACTTCTAACAAACCTACTTTGGGTGGTGTAAGCAGCGTCCCCAGGAGACGAGCACGCAGACTGGAGGAGCTGATCTTCTCCTCCTCTATCTCTGTGTGGTGGGCATCCTTGAGCAACTGGATCTCGTGAAGGACAAGAGCTGGAAGACCCTGATTTAGAAAGTGGAAAGAACAAAATATGAAATATCACATCCTGCAGTAGAAATGAGACAAAATCAGAAAATGGAAGCAAGTAAAAATCCTTAATATGTACTGTCCAACTTTGAGGTGAATTTACAAGAGTTGAGTAGTAAGCCTGTTAAGTGCGTTACATGACATAGCCTCTATAATACAGTATAATACTCTATTGATGGCACTCATTGGACCGACCCATACTCTGAATAATGAAAGTTCAAAGAACTCAGTGAAGATCTATGAAGGAGATTTGTGGATGCAAGCTTGGAAGGTCTCTTGTTGCCCTTTCATCACATCAAAACTGGTCTTGGAATAGATAAAGCAGGCTAACATTAACCCTCTGAAATGTCATTGCCAAAGCCCAGACTTTAACCCTATTGTAAATTATTTTTTGACTACGCTTAGAAGCAGAGCCTGTGTCAGGAAACCAACCAATTTAAATGAACTGTATCGAATCTGCCAAGAGGACCAGTCAAATATCCAGCCTGAAGCTTGCTGATTGCTACCAAAAACATCTGGCTGAGATGGAACTTTTGACCAGAACTATTAATAAATATGTCTGAATAATTTAGCAGTATCAAAAGGGCCTTTGTGGGCATTTTTTTTTAATAGAAGGAATGGAGAGCTATCTGCTACTCGGAAAGTAGAAGAAAAAACAAATGCTACACACGCACACACACCTGTTTACAAAAAAATCTTCAAGTTTCAACACAAGACAGTATTTACTGGCAATTTCCTGACTTACATTCTCAATGCGTTTCTTGTTCACAGCCTCCCCACCCTTTCTAGTCTCCTCGCTGACCACAATGCACTCCAGCAGGGGGTCAACTATAGACACTCCAAAGGGGTCATCAAGAGGCACAACCTCCACCTGCAGTGAGGGCTTGATGTCTTGGAGGAACTCCTGTAGTCTCTGGACCCGAACAGAGTAAGGCTCGATCAGCTCCTTTAGCACTTTTTCTGAAACCAAGAGGAAAACAATGTCAGGTGGATTTTAACATATGACTGAAATATGAGATGTCAGTCTCAGAAACACAACTACTCACTTTTAAGCATTGCATGGTCACACAAGCCAATCAGGAACCTTCTATTGGCCAGCAGGCAAGAGATACTAAGTAGAGTCTTGTGGGCCCCATGGAGTCGATCAAATGTCCCTCCTACCACCACGTCATTGTAAGTCTGCAGCGGCTCTGCCTTTTCTTGCTGTGCTTCTGGCACATCCTCCTCCTGCAATTTCATTAGCTCTGGGTGAAGCAGCACTGAAGGCAGCCCGGGTCTACAGGCATAGCAGTGGCCGGTGTAACTCTGCAAGCACTGAGTGACCTGATGGGTCTGACCGGGGTCCTGGGGAGCAAAGTCTGTTAGCACCACCTCCGGTGAATTAGACAGAGCCTGTGGTGTGGGAAAGGGGCCGTTTGGGGTCGTGGCTCCGCTGCATGCGACTGACTGAGTGCGAACATTAGTCAGCAAAACGCAAACATCCAAGTGCCCGCACACATCAGCTGCATTACTGTACAGGCGGGTAATGAGATTAGACAGGTCCACTGCTGGTGGAATGAAAACTGGCCGAGGCTGGCTCCCACTTCCCAGATTCAACCCAGGATGGAGGTGGACATAGAGCGTGCGCTCGACTCGCTGAGCAGCTGAGCTGAGCACCGGAGCAATGCGTAAGGGAAGGGTGTGGAGAGGAGACGTCAGGACAAGGATGCCTGTGCTGAACATGGACATGTTACCTGCGGATGTCACAGAGATTCAGTCCTTGGGAAGTCACTGGATTGGGGTTGGCTAAACACTGAAAGGGATGGAAAGAGAAAGACAGTTTAAAAAAATAATAATAATCTGTGTCTGAGACTGTAAAGTAAAAATAGAAATAAAATAGAATACCTCACTTAAAATAAATATGCAAAGTCCAAATAGCTCAGTTAGGGAGTTAGCTTATACAAAAGCAGCAGCACAGTTAACCTTTTATCCATTGAAAGCTTAACTGGACAGCACAGTTTCTGTCATATTTCAGGCTGCTTATGGAACAAAATGACTGGGTTTGCATCAGAAGTTGGTAAGGGTAGTTTCTGCCTATGCAGCTACCTTTAGAAAAACTCGGAAACCATTCTAATAGAAATCAAACCACGTTTTTATTGATATATACTGAGAAGCCTAAACTCGTCATTAAGGGTACAGAGGAGGTTGTCAAATGCCATCTTTATTGGGGAAAGAGTTCAATTGAAAACAGAAAAAAGTAAAAACAAAGTTAAAAGAACTCAATGAATGTAAGTTTAAATGTAACAATAAACCAATCGACAAGGCCTGTAACACTGTGGGTGTGGAGCTTGATTCTTTGACAGAGGTCTCAGAAAGGAAGCTACTGTCCAAGTTGTGATCAGTACTGGACAATCCTTCACACCCTCTCCATCTAATGCTGTCACCACAGAAGCATGTTTTGCAAAAGACACCACAGAACATATCTACCTGTGACCATCAAACTTTACAACTCCCCCTTATGACACCTGGACAGTTTTCACTTGTATTATCTTGTTTAAAGTGTACATTTTGTTTTTAATAGTTCATAAATTTTATGTGATTATTTACAACAAAACAATACTCTGATAATTAAGTAAAAATGTACCAGGCAAGGCTTCCTTTATATGGCCTTGTGTCAGATGTTAGAGACACTATTTGTGTCCCATTTGTTGTTGCTGTAAGCATGTTGGATGGCTTGGGATTACTGATATATGCTATGGCTAAAAATTGGGGAGCAGTCAGACAGCGTTTCAACTGCAGATAACATTATCAACACCCGTGCTATGTCCTCGGTTGTGTTTACCTGATGCAATGAGTTGCAATAATGGAATGATTTACAAGCTCAGACAAGAGTTACTTAAAAACCCTCACTTCAGTTGAGGCTGCTTCTCAGCAGTTACTCTGTAACAGTTTAAACCTGAGACATTGTGTCTGTGCAACAAATCCCATTTGGGTCAAAAGCCAAAGCTGCTGGTGATCATTGCACCCACAAGCGACATGACTAGACAGACAATGAACCACCTCCAGAAAGTGACCGATCACACAAGGCACTAATACACAGTTTCTAACACTCGTTTCTGGTTATAATCCTTCCACACAGGTACATTACACTTCCTACGCCAACTGCTGACTTTAAGATCTTCATCAGTTGGATCTGAAATCTTGTTGTCTGCTTTTTTCCTGTGGCCCAATTGTGGCCTCAAACCTTCCTATTGCCTCAGTGATTGGGGTTTGCAGATGGGGGGGACCTTTGAGTTGAATACGCATATGTGGTGTGGCAAGCTTCTTTAAGAGCTCAGTGAGAAAGACTGATGATTGATAATTCCGTTCTTGAATTCAGGGTACTGAGCTGTGAAAAAGGTGTAGCCATTCAGGATGGTAATGTCAATTTGCACCACACTTGCAGGTGTAGGTGCCAACCATCAAGTCCATGGGGTCTATACTTCCGTTGGCTTGTTGTAGAATGTGATCAATTATATGTTTCCCCCTCCCCTTTCTGGTATTTTAATCCAACACTTTGTTACAATACATTGTGCTGAGGAGTACAACAGTCGCCCTTTTCTTTCTGACATAGCCGACTATGGTAAGGCTGCCATTGAATCCAACCTCTGTGTTGTAAACTTCCCAGGATGAGGAAGGATGGAAAGATGTCTACTGGAGACACTATTGTGGGAACTACAATGGGACAAGGTAGACACTGTGCAAGAGGCACACTGGAGAAAAAGTAATCTGTAGTGAAGTTGTGTCTTGTGTTTCTGAGTCTACTCCACAACCCATGGACGTTTTCCCTCAGCTTTTTCTGCACTTCTTTCACCATGTAAATTATTCCAAATATTATATTGCAGATGTCGGCATCACAAATGCAAAGGATTTTCAGGCCATACTTGACGGGCTTGTTTGGCATTTACTATGGAAATTTTGTCTCCCCCTGAATGCCACAAGTTGACCATCTAGGGTGGCACAATCACTGGTGATGAACACTGTCTGAATGATGAATGAATTAATACCATCTGTTAATTCTTGCTGTGAAAAATAATCTTCCTAAGTGGTGATACTCTAGTGGCCCACGAAAATATATATTCCTGACAGTAACAGTTGATAAGAATCAAAAGATTCCATTAAAATTCCATTGGAAATGAATGCAGAACATTTTTGAATCACTTATGGAAGTTTGGTGTAGTAATACAACAATGACAATTTTGTAAAAATGTTTAAAAGGCCATTTAAAAATGTAAATGGCATGACATTAAAAACATGTTTTTGAGGAATAGCTGGAACATGGAATGCAAACAACTTGTCGTTAATTAGATATTGCAAGAAAACATCCTGACCGGGTCATTTGTGACCGACTAATGCATCTAAGGCTTAAAGTTGTTCTATGTTAAGCCAATGTGGCTGCAGCGAGCTGGCCACAGCAACTGTCTGAGCTTGTTTTCTATCTGTATATAGTTGGACTTGTGATTAACAGAAGTTAATCACAAGTCCAATCTGTGTTCGAAGCTAGCTAGCTAGATGCAACACTATAGCAGCACTGGCTGCAAAAAGTGGCAGAAAAGCAGGATAAATATAAAATACCTACGCTTTTACCATATTAGTAATGGCAACCCATACTCCGCACGATCCTAAGATATCGCAATAGCAACTATGTTGTTCCAGACGTTTGGTACGGCCTGTACATGCAGCCAGAGCCAAAAAAAACCCAAACCCAACTGACAGTCTGGCTGACTGTCTTAACAGCAGCTTACCTGTAGGTAGCAGATCTAAAGCGCTGTGAAGAACGTCAGAGTCGAGCCGTACTGATGTGGAGCTGCACGCATATTTACTGGAGAGCTCGTTTATCTGTCACTTTTAAACGAAAAGCTGCCTTTTCCCGTTCAGCCCTGTGCAAACTGCTAAGAACCCACTAGTGGAAGTCACTCGCACGTGAACGGGGTTTTGTAATCACGTGATAGCTCCTGGCCACTTGATTGGATGAAGAGCTACAGAGCCGTTGAAAAGAAGCCGCGGGCAAGTGACCAAGGCAACGATTTTTTTCAGCCGTGAACTCTAAAAAATTAAAGGTATTTCACTGCTTTAGGTATTTATTTTAAATTTATTATAAAACATTTTTTATTTTTATTTTAAATTGTAATATTTATTTATTTAAATAATTAGTAAAACTTTTTTTAAATAAAAAAATGCTTTTTAAATGTTTTAATATTTATTACATTTTCAATTGATTTCCTCGTTTTAGTTTTTTTTATTGGTTGGTTTTGTTTTTGTTCTGTTTTTGTTATCTCAAGTGTCACGTTTGGTCTTTTTATATTATTATTATAAAACCCTAAAATCAGGGTCAATATATAAGAATCTTAAAGTAAGTATAATAATACAAAGGCAACAGTATGTGAAGGTGTCCTGTCTCACATGCTCAAATACAAAGGGAGGGTTTGAATGCCAAATGTGACAAAAGTGAAAAAGACTTTATTTTATCTTAGTCTTGTAACTAGATTATATTATTGTTTGGGTTTCATTTTTCCCCCCAGAAATTTAGTTTGAATTTGTCTTTTGTTTAAACCTAATTTTACTTTTTAGTTTAGCTTTAGTTTGCTATAAACAGTAGTAACATATTCTGTGGATGTAATATATTGTGTTAAACAGTGTGGAAAGTAACTTAATCTCAGAGGGAAATAATGTCAAGCTTCTTACCCTATACCCTATATACTATATATATATAATGTTCTTCCTCTACCCCCCCCGCCCCCCGGGTCTTCTTTGTCATATTTTTAGTCTCATGATATTCCAGATGTTTCTACTGGTCAAAGGTTTGGACTGCAGACAGGCCAGCAGCATGCCCTCTTCTACTATGAAGTCATGCAGCTTTAATTTATGTAATATGTGGTTGTTACATAATAGTAAATACTACCAACTTTAATGTAATATTTATATGAAATGCTAAACAAAGAACATAAAAGTTAGATAAAGCACAACAGATACAGAAACAAGAATACAAATAATTAGGCTGAAATTTGCTTGTTAATGAAGTGTGCCAACACACCCATGTTCCACCTCTTAATAGACCAATTTGTCATTCTTTAGTTTAACTTATGACAAAACCAGTATTTTTAATTATTTTCATTGCTTAGTTTCCTTTGGTCACCTTAAAGAAAAAATGAGGCAGAAGCTGTCAATAAATTTAATATTATAATGAAAAATTAAACATTCAACTTATTCAATTATAAACTGCAGAACTAACTTTCCGGGAGGAGGCCCCGGGGCAGACCCAGGACACGCTGGAGAGATTATATCTCTCGGCTGGCCTGGGAACGCCTTGGTGTTCCCCCGGATGAGCTGGAGGAGGTGGCTGGGGAGAGGGAGGTCTGGGCCTCTTTGCTTAGGCTGCTGCCCCCGCGACCCGGCCCCGGATAAAGCGGATGAAGATGGATGGATGGATGGAGAACTAACTTTGATGTAAATTGTTTCTGTATTTGAAGGTACTATTAAAGAAATTATACAAATGTTTGACTGAAGTGGCGGGTTTAATTATCTACAATTTATCAAATGTCTTAAAAAAATTAACAAACAAGAGAATCTATTACAAAGAATGAGACAAACACTCTTGGGGGAGATCTTTCTTTATTTTTCAAATTATATTTTGAGGCCAACAATTTACTTTCACAAAAATAATTAATAAAAAGAAAAAAAGAAAATGAAATGTCTCTATAAGGTAGAAAGAGTTCCATGCCCTCAAGTTTGGTGGGCAGAGGCTTTGCATAAGTAGCAAAAAAGAAATACCAACACAAATGAAAAATAACAGGTTCAAGTAAAAAGTTTAGTCATAACAAAGTTACACCATAGTCTGGTGGCAACTCTTGGACATTAAGACGGTTGTTGAGTTTAATTTTTGGTCAGAGGAATCAAACTGAGCCTATGGGACCAGTTCCTCTAATGACTTCTCCACAAATAAAAAGTGCTCAGTACGACTCAAAAAACTACTTAGAAATATAAGTTGGCACTGAAATGTGCAAGAAATCGAAAATTTGAAATTCTTGATGGTAAACCTGCAGGATCGGGCATGACATCTTCAGTGGATGCTTATAAACATTGAGAGTTTAACACATCAAGCCCGTTGACATGTATTAATTGACTTTTTTATCACTGGTGGTATCACTTGCTGCTGTGTCATAATGGCACTTCTCCACACATCGTCTTGGAAACCATCCTCTTATACGCTCTCCAGCTTAATGCCAAACAAAAAAATAGAAAGTTACACATTTGTTACATTGACTTTACACGACACTTTGCTACAGTGGTTTTGAAAATTCAACGGGACAATAATTCCTTACCTCTCAGTTGCTCCTCACTCAAAACTTTATCTCCATACATCCACCATCTAAAGGAAAAAATTACAGTTTAAAAAAAATGACTCATCAAATACCTATAAAGCTTATTAGCCTGTGGGGCCAGGTTCACCCCTTAAAGGCTGCGCTAAGGTATGTGGTGTACCATGAATCAGCAGCTGGAGGTGAGGCATTTACAGGTCAAACACTGTTGTTGTTTGACTTCTGTGTTAATCCCAGTTTTTCCATAATGCACTCGGAAAACCAAGGTGGCAAGTAGAAAGAAATTAGTAACTGGCTATCTGGCTGACTGCTAGGATCTGCTTGGGACGAGTGACTGTAAATGATGTGGTCTACTTATGACCAAGCTGTGGAATCTGTCACTCAGACCCAAGTGGACCCCTAGACTCATGAAAGTGGAAACTATGACATACTAATTAGACTGCTGGTTGACCACACTCAAAATCAAACACCAAACAGAAAACAGTAGTTCTGTGCAGACAAACTTACTTGGTACCACGAGTAGCCAGAATGGTATCCCCCTTGCAGAGAGGGATCCTGGGTTCCTCGGTGCAGGGGGTTCTAAAAAAAGTTTGTAAACCCTTGCTGAGAGGGCAGCAAGCTCCATTATAATCCTCTACTGCCTGGTACTGGACCTGCTGGTCAAGGCAAATATGATACATGGTTATTCTACTGCTCTGAACATCAGTTAAAAGTTACTTATGTATGTGTAGAAAGTCTTTAATCTTAGTGCATTGACAAATTTCACAGTACTGATTATAAGATCTACACTAAGGTATCTGCTAATTTCATTCTCTATGGTGTATTGGATTGTTACAAGCTAAGATGTAGCTCATCAATTTCCTGACATGATATGATTTTAAATATGATCCCCAGTGTTTATTTAGTATCAGTCCCTAGTACTTCAGCATGAAAATACACTCTTCTTGACCTGTATGTTTTGCTTGTTGCACACACTGCATAAGCCAAATTCATGCAATGCATAAATAAACCTCTGACAACACTTAACGGTTATGTGCATTGAAAACTACAGTCTTATCACATTTTGATTTTGTGGAAAAGTATTTATTCTTTAACTTGGTTACTTACACTTCTCACTCGTTTATCAGCTTTCTGTTTCAGTTGCTCAATCTGTGTAAGGAGAAATAACAGGTACAAATTTTATTTATAAACTGAACTTTTATAAGAAATGTCTAATTAGTCATCACTGAATCTATGGAGTTAAAAAAAAAAAAAAAAGGTTTTTTCTCATTTTAAGACAGAACAGTAACAAACAAAACACAATCAGTAATGTCTACATTACTCAACTCAACCTACAGTTAAGGTGTGCTGGTGACACTTGGGATGGACTGGCCATACAATGCCATCACCTCTGGGTGTCCCCGACCACGTGAAGACTTGTTTAAAATTCAGCCAGCGGCTGCCGAGGTCGTACGGAAAGATAAACTCCTCCCCTGTTTGGTAGTGCTGTATTCTGTCTTTGGCCTATTAAAAGAAAGACAAGCAAACCAAGACAACACATTTTCTAGTACTGTCAGAGGGTACTATAACATGTGTGTCTCGGTCATTTTTAAATATGAAGTACTGCAATGATCAAATGCGAAACAAAACAAACTACTTTTAAATCCCTCAGTATTGCGTGAATATAAAAATCACATCCCAGATTACCGTTTGTGAATCAAGAGAAAAAAACACTGATATCTCAAAATGTTATCAGGAATCAAAGTCACGGGAAATCAAGCAGAGACATTCTGACCTTTTCCTCTATCCACGACTCGATTGAAGTCTTATTTCGAAGGATGACTTTCATCTGAAAAGGACAGACATTCGTTATCAGAGTCAGCAATCTCTCGGCCTATATTTCCTTAAATAAACTGCTTTGTTATTGGAGTATTGATTGGAGCTGGATATATACTACACATGCCCAAGCTTTAAACTTATAAAATTGGTTTCACTCTTTCTTGCTTAAGAAATTTCAGTTACCATTTATTTATTACAGCTATGCAGTTTATCTTTTTTATGCTATGCACTGTCTTTCTTTGTCCCTTTATGTTATGTTAACCATCTTTGTTACATTATTTGCAAATAAATAGGTAGGAGTATGGATCCATGCATTTGCAGAATTCTAACACAGTTTTACTTTGATATGCCTACATACGCCACAATATGCTCTCTGGTCAGATCTTCACCAGATGTTTTCCACACTGCTCTTGTCTTGAAGTGAAAACATGGCTTGCAAGATCTAATGTGGCTTTGTAGGATTATGAGTAAAATAATCAGACAAATGTCTCTCTCTTTTTTTTTTTTAACCAAAAGCTTGTTAAGTTTGCAAAACTTAGGAAAAACTCACCTGTATAACGAAAAGCATACCAACGGCAATAGTGGTGCCAAGTGCCAAACCTAAGGCAAAGAGTGTAGCAGCAAAGGCAGGCACACTGAAGGGCATGAGGGGCTGAAATTGACGCACAGCACTCATGTCAATCCTTACAGTACTCCAGCCGAATGATATCTGCAGTGAAGAAAAAAGAAACAGCTTTATTAGCCTGGTGGGGGTTCGGCCTAGAACTGTGATAACAGAACATCAAAAGCATGGTGGGGCCAGCGCAGGTGACAGCTCACCCTCTCATAC